TTTTCTTATATGGAGAAAGGCACAGGTCTCTTCTGACAACTCAGTCAGTAGGTTTTTCCCTTATACGGTAATTCGTTTCACATTTCTGGCTGCAGTGAACCTTCCCCATTGTATTTCACATGAAGTTTAACTAGTTTCCTATTGCGATTTCAAGGGGTATCAATAAAGGGAACATAACTTCTAACAAATGGGTGTCCTCTTCTTCCACCCAACTTCATGGCTCTCTAGTGGAACGCTTCTACGAAGAAAATATGATTTGTGAAAAATTAACATTATTGTACTCGTTTTGCTTAACTGTACCAGAAACACTGCTACTACTTCTTGCGCGCAACGTTCTCTTCGCGTTGCTGCAATTTTTCTCTATTTGCTGCTCCCATGTAATGCCAACGTTCTTCTTCAATAAAACCTTGGAATATGGATTTATTTTGCTTTTAATCATGACGGGATATCATGGAACATTTAGTGGTGAGCATAGTCAATCTGGTATCTGGATTCGCTCACTAAAATTGGTGAGACCGACGTTTCTTCAAAAGAAGTCAATTACGCTGAGTCTATTATTCATCTATCACCATTTTTATAATGTTGCAATACTATTAATAATGTCTTTAATATATTTTATACTTGCAACAACTTTTCGAAATGGTAGATAGCTATAATAATAGACTCCGAGGTGCAGGTCATTGCAATCTCACCTGTCTCCTCCCCGTCATTTCAGGTTGTTAGTTTATTTTACTTGCTCGATTTTTGCACTAACGCTAGGTACTTGGTGGCCACAAGTGCCCAAGTTTCTGTCGTATCGTTTGGTAGCAGCAAGTCATAAGTTACTATGCTTCGACCACGCACTGCGAATGGCTCTGTCATTCCTACCTACGGTACACGACAGCTAACTATCAACCTGAGTATCCGACGACAGTATCTATGGACGTTCATCCCTTCTGATGTTCCCATAGCCATACTCGGTATCGATCCATTACAGCACTATGAATTGCTGTTCGATTCACGTAGGCTGCGTTTTTCGATAATTCATCGAATATCAAATCCATGATTTTTAACGCGCAAACAGATATGTACCGAATTTTTTTGCAATACTATTTATTTCATGTTATATTCGATAAATTCCTCAAAGTAACGAAACCGAGTAGATTCAACTGAGGATTAATAATGTGGTAAGCCATATCGTCACCTGCAGACCCCCAGTCACGGCAAAACCTCGCCGACTGTCACTGGACAACTTAGTTTTCGCTAAGCGTGAGTTTGACAGTTTACTTGCTATATGTATTACTTCGTCTTTCTCACAGTCTTTAAGACTCCTCTCCACTCGGTTCGCAGAAAGATGGCATTTGCTGGAGACGACACGGCGATTACGGAGCAGCAACGGCAGATACCCAATGTTCCCCCTCCTAACCTGTATACGGCACGACATTGCATCTGCCTGGGGAATTTTTTCACACCACGGAGCAGCGATTTTATGTATATCAGATAACGTCCAACGACTATCTGCGTAGATGTGAATATTGCCTCCGGTGTTAACTCGAGTATAACATCGACAGGTCACTCTCCCTCGAGAGTTATTTACCTGTCCGCAAGTTTTCCTACTAGTAGATTCGGTACTCAACAACCTTATGAAGGATCTTTTCACGTGGTCTCTCGTCACGAAAAGACCTTCAAGGTTGATGGACACAGTCAACATTGATCGTCTCATACCAGCACACGTCAATAACAGTGCCCTACCTGGTTAATCGAGATTTAATGCTGGACTCGTCCAACTCACTAGCGGGACCCTTATTTTTCCTTCTGATCGCACGCTAGCGAAATCAGAGACCTCATTCTCACGTCCCAGTCAGCGGCACGCGCCATCTGCACTATCTACGGATGAGACTCCGGTCCCACGTCCAGATCAGCAGACCACGCAGCACTTGACTAAGGATGAGAATGCAGGCTCACGAGGTACGCACGAGGCTACGGTCTCGCGTTCCGATTGCAGCGTACGCCTACCTATACGCCTTCTCGAATAACTACCAATCCTCCACAGGTGCGGCATAGGATTTTACCCTCATACTACATGCATGCTATACATTTCTCTTTTTCTTTGATTTTTTTATCCCGAGCCTATACCTCCGACCATTGCCCTGTTGGTACCGTCGACTTCAGTCAACCTTGGCGAAAGTTGGCCTGATCACCCACGTTCTTGTCAATGCACTCAGTCGATTTTCCGGTTACGAATATATCTGGTATAAGAATGGTTTCGCGCTGGTCACTTCAGGCTCCTTCGCTCATTCTGGTTCCGTCCTGCGTCTGCAGCTGGATCCGGTCCGGACCCCTACGAACGCAGTCCTCGGACTCTGGATACGAGCCACGCTGGTGTGGCATGCCAATCCGATTGACAAACTTGGCACATCAACTTGAGCAGCATACCTGGCACGTTACTACTGGTACAGTTCAACGTAGAAGACTATCGGTGACAACTCGAGCTTCATTCCTCGCTTCCTGTTCGTCAACCCTTCCGTACCACAACCAAATGTTGGCCGACCACCACCGCCCGAACGCAGCCGCCATGTATCGAAAGTGTGAACCCTTTCTAGGCGGGGGCTGCTGTAGTAGAACGCTTCTACGAAGAAAATATGATTTGTGAAAAATTAACATTATTGTACTCGTTTTGCTTAACTGTACCAGAAACACTGCTACTACTTCTTGCGCGCAACGTTCTCTTCGCGTTGCTGCAATTTTTCTCTATTTGCTGCTCCCATGTAATGCCAACGTTCTTCTTCAATAAAACCTTGGAATATGGATTTATTTTGCTTTTAATCATGACGGGATATCATGGAACATTTAGTGGTGAGCATAGTCAATCTGGTATCTGGATTCGCCCACAACAGCTCTGTTAGGACCTACTGATATGAATCTTTCGGAATTCTGTTCCTGTTGTCTACAGGCTTGGTCAGCCAGGTTGTTCTAGCAGTGGTTTCATCCATCCTGGTAGGTTTTAGCCTTACGTCGGCCTGTAAGTCTCCTTTAAATATACAACGGACATTCGTGTAATAGACCTGAATATCATTCAAACGGCAACGCGATGGTACAAACTGGCCTCGGCATCATTCATAGCCAAAACCTCGCTACTCGAAAAATTAGCGTTCCGAGGACCTTAGTTACGGCTATTTCTTCCCGCTTCCAGCCTTTTTACGCGTCTGATAAACGACATTTTTCTTTGTATGAAGATCCCAAATCAATTAAGTCAACCAACATTTTAGTACTTGATCCCTTTTGTTCGCGGATTTGAATATCGCCTAAATCATCCTGGTTTAGTATACTTTCAAGCCCATCACTTGGCTGTGTAGAATAGGAAGCTTTAACAGGGTGGTCCGAAGGACACAACGAAGTATCAGCTAGTTATTAAAACCTGTAATCAACCCTATTTCATCTCGAAAACTAGTTTAGGGCTCGAAGCTGTAGCTTTGCCTCTTCTGTGAAAGATAACTAGCCTGTTGGTTTGATCAGCCCCCGATTTCTCAGCTGTATTTAAAGAATCCTGCTTTACCTTGAAGGTCCTCGATCGTCTCTCCTTTTTCTCATTTCAATATTGCGCTCACTTCTCACCTTTCCCTAGAGTTAGAATTAGGGATGCCTCAGCACCGTCCTGGGTCCCAAAAGGATGTGATTTCTGTTTTTATCCCTCTAAGTTTGCTAATACCCAGAGAAACATTCCATTTTGTCTTTACAACGTAATTATACGGTATTCATGATAAATATTAATTTCTTTGCGCGTTTTCGAACACCGAATTCAAATCGTGAAAAACAAAATCTGCAAGTGTGCTCGCTATTTTCTTTCTGACCTAAACGCTGGCCTATTCATGACTATTATTGCACTCATTCGTTATAACTGGGAATAAATAGTTATGTGCTGAATTCTAATATATTTTCTCACTTTATTAGCGTTATTTTGGAGGGTCAGATTTATGCCCGGTTACACAATAGATTAGCTGTAGTAATCGACACTGGATCTAGAAATCAAATTTATACAAACGCCTAAATTGTCCATTCAGGAACTATACGTATTAGTTATGAGGCAGTTTATGCGAGTGATTCTCGAATGTAAAGAATCAGGTGTATTGGTTATTCATCCTTGAATAATTAAACGCGTAAATGTCAAAGACCCTTTTTTCCATGAAAAAAGAAATAGTTCAGAAAACAATTGCTAAGCAGTACGCAAAGATGAGTGAGAGTTTGATAGGTGTTTATTTTCTGTCGAACATCATTCCTGGAAACTATTAGCAATCATTTATTCTGTGGAGATGTGAACATAGAACTCAATAAGAAATATTTTTTAACATTGTTTTTGACATACACTTCAGACTCTTGGAACCATGTTCTATGTTCTTCACTCTCATTTATCTGGATCTAAAGTAATTGATTTTTGGCCAATATTCACCTTCATTGTTTCATTTCTCTGTTGCTTGTTGCAAGGCCGTTGACAATATGGTTGTGTTCGTATAAACTCATTGTTACGGCGCCGCCGAAAGCCAGCTGGGGACGGCAAGTTGAACCCCTGTAAGTAAATATCTGATACCACCTCGTTGGGAATACTCTCATTAACCTTCAAGTAATAACCATAATATTTTATTCTCAAATAAAAACGTTTTCCATGGGAGATACCCAGAATCTAAGGGCTAAACATAGCGAAATGGACTGTTGACACCTTCTACTCCTTTCAAGTAATCAAATTCTGGGAGTCGTAACAGAATTCGGTGGAAAAATGACTTCTGTTGAGTCTTTAAAGATGAAAATTGGTATATTATTAAGGACTTCAGACAGCACTTTATTATAATCTACTATTATTTCTCTCTTACTGGTGGAATATATTTAGGTTCCTATCTGGAGATATCGGTGATCTGTTGATACTAGATATGGAAGCCCTTTAGGCCGAAGCTCCTTCCAATCGGTGCACAACAATTAGAACCATTTGACTGAAGTATATTGAAATTTCCTATAAAAGTATTGCTTACGTTTTACGGTAGGCGCGTGTTTTAATTTGAAACGTTGCAGCCTGCACTTAAAGTTTATAGTGAATTCTAGGCTCCATGTGGAACTTTAGCTGTGACTGTTAAGCTCTTTTAACCTCACAGCGGCATTTGTACTGATTTTTACTAATTCTACCGTCTCAACATGTAAGTTTATTTCATGTGCTTACTGAACCTTCAGTTCGCTACAAATGTCAATGTAATTCTTTTTCCGGCCTCCGTCACGTAGGCTCTTTTACACGCCCCCTAAGCACTCAAAGTACCTTCCGGCTAGACATGAAGCAACATACCGTTATGGATTATTGACTTTGGCTGTCAGTTTGTTCTGAATTGAGGTTGATATCAATATTTCTTAAATTGCTTTCATTATAATATGTAAGCCTTCTGTATGGCCATATAGCCATTAAATCTTATTTTTATCGTTAACCTCACTTAATTGTTGTACGTAGACTTAGGTTTATATCACCTAGCAGCAGCAGGTTTCCAGATGGTTTAAACATAAGAACACTTAAACGTTATTTATGTGTATAGAGGTAAGATATGAATCTTTTACCTTAAGAATTGCGTGTGGTGCACCGTATCCACCTATACGAATAAAGTCATGCGTAATCGTCGAAACTCGCCTGTTCACTAGAATGGTCTTTGTTTTGTGGTTCCGCTAATGATTCGACGCTACATCGTCAACATATTAAAAGTCGCAGGAAACAAACAATTATCCAGTCAAACGGTTTTACTTGACCGGTTTCGTACAAGTGTTTGACCTGCCGTTATTTAATTACGCAATATTAGGATGTAAAGCCTGTTTGCTTCTCACCGGTAACTTACCAATAATTTAACTAATTATGGAGGTGCATATTATTTCTACGTCAGATGTTTTCTTTAAACTTCCCACACCAAGCTGGAAGTAGTTAGAACTCCTATTTCTCTTAAGGCATAGGTCACCGAACAGGGTCCTTCCTACCAACTTTATTACGGGCTTTCCTTTGCAATTGCTACTAGATGTATCCACGGTTTTGGTATGACTCGTTTCCTACCTCATGTATCCCCTGTTTCGTAACTTGTTTTTACGCTGAGGACATTGGATCAGCTTCTACTTTGTGGTCCACTCCTAATGCTCATCCCGAATCTCCTAAATTGGTAGCTGATGTATTCTGTCTGAGTTTCAGTCAGCTACAACGTAGAACTTAGTACGTACTTACATCAGTTCAAGTTAAGATATCACAAGCACAGACAGATGGAATTTTCAATCCAAATACCATAGGGGTAGTAGGGGTTTTAGCAGTATTAACAGTAATCCAAAAGACCATAGATCGAAGAAATGATCCGGCAAGTATTACCCAGTGAAATAAATTTAAAGAGACAAAACATCATGAGGAATTCAGGAGATTAGGATTTCAGAGAAGACAAAGAATGGATACTCTTGCGCCATTGCCATCCATTATGAGCCAAGCCATTCAAAGTCTCTAACCATCGGTTACTATTGTCTCGCGGACCCCAACCAGGTAGTCTACACCTAGCAACATAGCTCGGTCCACTTGTCTGTGACTTCATGGATTTGTGTCATGTTTTGGTTTGGCCTCCCCTATCTTTCTTCCAGCCTACTCCTACACCAAAAAGCATCGTTCGTGGCGCCAGTAATCGATGGTTAGGGTTAGTAGTACTCCTACTATCTCTACCACTATGGGATTTGAATTGACAATTGCATCTCTGTGCTAATGTGGTATGACAGCTTGAACTGATGTACGTACGTACGAAGTTCTACGTTGCTATTGATCGATTGACAGTCAGTGGTTGGGCATATGTAACACATGTCCCAACCACCTCAACTGATGAAGTTTCAATACTTCATCTATTGAACTGCCATCCTTACCTACTAGCTGTTTCCTAACAAAAACACTGCCTACTCAATGGTCCCAGGATATACGGGCAATCCTTCAGAGAGATCAATGATCAAATACTAGTAACCTAAGTATACATTCGCTTCTTACTGATCATGTTTCACACCCGTATAGTAGGACCGAGTGAACTGTTGCGCCGTTAACTCATCCTCTGCTTAGCGGACGGATATTCCACCTACAACTTAAGTGACGCGAATTGGCAAAAGTCAGTCAAGCCCTCTATCTGCATGCTGAGATTTCGTCACACCAAGCCATCAGCTATGATGAGACTCCCAAGGCGACAACAGGTAACATTAAACAATTGTCCAGACTTATTAAGGAAACGTATTGGGAATCCGGCTGTCAATGAGATTCGGAAAAAGGCAGAACTCATCATCATCAACAGCAGCGTAGAACTTTGCACGTAAGTACAACAGTTCAAGTTGCCATGCCACATTAGCACAGAGATATAATTGTCAATTCAAATCCCGTAAAAGTAGAGGTAGGAAAAGTACTAGCATTAATTGGAGAGATTAGGGTTCAAGGATATTCACGAAGTAGAATCTAGTGAAATAAACTTAAGATGAAAAAGAACTCGATGAGGAATTCCGAAGGTTAGGATTTGACAGAACACAAAGAATGAATGCAGATGCACCATCGCAAACGGTTTTGAGCCATGTCACTCAGGGTCTCTAACCATCGATTACTATCATCTCGCGGGTCCCAACCAAGTAGTCAATACCTACCAACATGACTCAGTCCATTCGTCAATGACTTCATGGATGTGTCATGCTTCGGCTTGGTTGCCCCTAGCTTTCGTCCAAGCTATTTCTGTATTGCAAAACATAGCTCGACCAGGCAGTCGGTGGTTAAGCATACGCAACACATATCCCAACCACCTCAACTGATGAAGTTTCATTACTTCATCTATTCACCTGCCATCCTTACCTAGCACCCGTTTCCTAACAACAGCATTGCTTACTCGGCTGCCCCACGGTACTCGAGCAATGCTTCGGAGACACCTATAATCGGAAACCAGTAACCTACTAACATTCTGTACTCTTACCGACCATGTTTCACACTCACATAATAGAACGGAGCGAACTGCTGCGCAGTACACGTTTAGCTAGAAAACGGATATCTCACCTTCGCCATAAATGACGCAATTTGGCAAAAGCCAACCGAGCCTTCTGTATACCTCAGTCACCAGGCCATCAGCGCTGACGAAACTCGCAAGATAAGTGAAGCGGTCGACACGCCCGACTACTTCACTCCCTATCACTAGTTCAGGTGCTGATGAAACCCAATCTTGAAGTAAAATTTTGCATTTCGAGGTTGAGGACCGCATCCCGAACATGCTTGCATTGTTGCTTAGGGTGGTCAGAAGACTCTGCATTTTGTCAGCGTCTTCACCAAGTAGGACTATGTCATCGGCATATTCTAAGTCAATAATTGAGCCAACTGGTAGAAGGTCTACTCCAGAAAATTCAGACGAGGATAAGGTTATTTCTAGGAGCATGTCTACGATAAAATTAAACAAGAATGGAGAGAGTGGACATCTCTGACGGACACCACTTGAAGTGAGGAATTCCGGTGACAGTTCGCCATAAGCTCTCACTCGACCAGTGTTGTTCGAGTAGAGAGCTTGTATGAGGTTAATGTACTTCTTTAGTACACCTCTCAATGACAGACACTGCCACAGAACCTCACGATCCACTGAGTCAAATGACGCTTTAAGGTCGAGAAACACTACTATTGTAGGACGCATAAATGTGTGTCTGTGTTCCAGGACCTGTCGTAGTGTGAAAATGTGATCTATACAACCACGTCCAGGTCGAAAACCAGCCTGGTTTTCTCTAGTCTGCTCTTCACGAGCTTTCGTTAAGTTTCGAAGTATTATTAAGGCCAAGATTTTAGATACTATATTAGTTAGACTTATTCCCCTGTGATTGTCACAAGAAGACTTTTGTCCTTTCTCATAAATTGGACAATCAGGGATTGAGACAAGTCGGATGGAATTGTGTTCAGTTCCTAGATTCTACCTAAGATTTCAGTCAATCTAGCTGTTAAAGCTGGACCACAATCCTAAAAAAAATCTTAGGGATCAATCTATCAGGACCAGCTGCTCTCGCTCGCTTCAGATTTCCTATAGCCTTCTCACATTCATAAAGATTCGGAGGTTAATGTCTGTTTCCCATTCAGGATGACTGGAGATCGTAGGCAACCGAAGTGTGGCTGAAGGTGTTTTACCATATGCTTAAAGTTAGTGTTTGCTAGAAATAGGTGGTTATCTGACTACTGACTCTTAATCTTGGAGATCGTATCAGACACACTTCAGTTACTCACGATTTCCAGTCAACCTGAATGGCAAGTGGACTGAGCTATGTTGGTAGGTGTAGACTACCTGGTTGAGATCCTCGAGACAATAGTAACCGATGGTTAGAGACTTTGAATGACTTGGCTCATAATGGATTGTTGTGGCGCAGATGTATCTATTCTTTGTCTTTTCTCAGATTCTAATCTTTTGAATCCCTCTGAACCTTTGTACTTTGTCACTGAATCGCATCTACAGTGATATTTCGATTATACACCAGTGAGAATAATACAATTTAATTTAAATTAGTGTACGCAGAACATTTAGTACTCGAATAAAAAAAACGTATATTTTATTTGTACTTGGTGTTTGCAAGAATGTGTATGCTTCAGTGAGCGAGTTAATTGATTTTTATCCAATAAAACAAAGTTTTTGTATGATCATGATAGAGTATCAAAGATTAAAAAACAGAACTCTTTCTGTACTTACAGATTCTATTCTGAATATGTCTGAAAAGAAACGGAAACAGCGGTTAACTGGCGATAAGCTGGATGGAGACCCACTGAAGCCTACACTGGAGGAAATCGACATTGCAAATTACTTACATAGAAAGCTACCATCTAGAGAAGGACGTCTCTCGGGAATGATTGTTCGCATATTTGTAGCAATGGAAGCCATAGAGTTGCTGATGAACTCCCCTTGGGCCAGATCGAATGACGATTCGAAACCAACTCTTTTTACAAGTCAAACTACAGCAGTTAATTTCATGACAACTTTGTTTCAAAAGCAAATGTTTCAGCGGTATTTAAACTCCTGAAGTTTCTATAATCTTCATTTCAGTGTAGTTCGTGTCAAGAAAAAGCCCATTAAAAACCGTGAAGATGCGAAATCGTCGAAGCCCAAACCAAAAAAGCTCACTGATGGAAAGGTTGTCTCCAGCAAAAATGTTGTCGATGCGCCTTCAGATGAAAATGTAAGTACTCAGCTTTACTTACCGTTTATATAAACAGTTCATAACTGGTTACAGTTGTACAAATACATTCATTCATCGTGTGCCTTTCTTCCATTCTGAATGTCATGTTATTCTAAAACCGTTATTTTCAATCTTTATGTTTTCTCCTCCAACTAGTGTTATTATCATCTTTCCTCTCGTCGATTCTTCGCTGTACTTATATGAAGCCTAGTGACGCGAACCTTACGCTATATATCCAACTGTTGGTACAGCATCATCGTTATCACCACTTACACAAACTTCACATTTGATTCTATCCATCTGTTGTGAGCTGTACTGACGTGTGTTTTAGGCTTTTGTGGCTATATGTTATTATTTGAAATCATGAATCGATCAATGCTAAACCACCATTAGAAGCCTGGAAGCAATGGACTGCCGTTTCGTCCCGGTACGGGAATCATCAGCAGTGCTCATCCACGACTCCTGCATCTCGCAGGACTCAAACCCAGGACCTTCGGTCTTGCGTGCGGACGACTAAACTCTGGACCACTGAGCCGGTATCTAACGGTGTTAATGTCTAACTTTGATCAATCCATGGAGTTACGCAACCTCATACACTGCCTTCAGGTATTTACTATTTACATACGAACAGGTTGAACTTCACTGACCACGACTTCCCACTAGGACTCGCAGAAGATTCCTCACGGAGGTAGTCACTAGTGAGCACACCACATTAGAAATTTGGTGACCTAACATTGATCAATTCATGATTTTAAATGTGTAATTTATCAATCTTCACAACCCCGTAATATATGTTATTAAGTTGTCTGTGATTGTGTATAGAAATGCATTAACCAGTAGGTATTAGTTTCCTATTGTCACTTATATCTTTGGGACGTGAACAATGTTGATTATGTTTTAGAAATTGCAGTATAGCGCATTTAGGACAGTAGTAGTAGGTAGTATAATTGTCTGCATTGTGTCACACTTTCCACAAACTGTATATGCAAAAAAGAATTGATGAAAATAATGGTAACGTGATCGATCAGTGAAGAAGCAGAAGAAGTTGCATAGTTTTAACAGAAGATAAAAATATATGAAATGAATTTATGCTCACTTTTATAGCTGCTAGTCAAGAAAAATACATCTAAGCCATTTGGGTAAGTTTTAAAATAATTCACATTAGATGTCTACTTATCAACTTCATCTATTTCATGAACCTTAACGGAATTGAATAGAGACAATAAAAGTAGTACTGAAATGATGCAAATCTATTAATTTTCCAGTTGTTGTTTGCATGTATGATTTGAGCATATTCTACCAGATAAATTGTACTCACTTTATTTAGGATTTACAAAATTGAAATCCTATAAATAAAAGGTTAATACAATTCAACTACCAAATTTTCCGGAAATTAAAGTTGTGCTTTTATTCTGTCATTTTGATATTTTCAATGTACACTTACCTCAAGTTAAACTATGCAGTTACTACTACTGTAGTGAACGAGAACACAGGTGGGGCAACCGAATTGTATTTAACGAAAATTACAGAGTTACTCAGTAAAATTGGAAAACCATATCGTAAATCGTTCATTTGCAAAATATCAGTTCATCATATCGAACTGGACTGTTCCTATTACAAAACATCAATCGATTGTCACTATTCCTGCGTTTCATACAAATTCCATTGTTTTCTAACTCTTCCTTTCTTGATCTCTTCTCATCTTCCGCTGCCAGACATTACGTTTTCACTTGCGTCATATACTAATTATAAGTAGCTCACACCACACTACTACTAAATGAACATTAATTGACATGTTCAATACACACTCACTATCAAATGCAAGCACATCGTCTCAGTTCATTTATTTAGTATTCTGTGAACTGAGTTTTGTTTGGGTGTTGTCAACAAGATGGTTAACTTATTATTTAAAAATTTGATATACTATTGTGAAATAAAGTATTTATTTCATTTCTTTTCATCATAGTTGAATTCTCAAGAGCCTGATTCTTCTAAACCATCAAAATCTGGCATTTTCTCATCTATCTCTTCTAGTATTAATGAATTCACTAAGAAATCAAACAAGAAACCAATGCGATTAGAAATTGTAGATGAGCAAAACTTTGTACTAGATGATCCGCATACATTTTATGTTTGGATTTATGAACCACCACCAGGATTGTTTACATGGTTAGCTGGTGCAGCTTTAATTATTGGCATTATATTGTGTTGTTTATTTCCTATTTGGCCATCGGAATTACGTCAAGGTGCATATTATTTAACAATAACTGCTTCAGGACTATTAGGTGTTTTACTTTTTGTAGGATTAATACGTTTCTGTTTTTATCTACTTGTATGGTTAACTACTTTGGGTCAATATAGTTTTTGGATATTTCCTAATTATTTTGAAGATTGTGGTTTCTTTGAATCATTTCGTCCATTGTATTCATTTAAACATGTATCTGATACTTCAGCAGTAACAGTGAGCAAGAAAAGCAAAACAAAAGTGAAATCAACTAGTGATGTTTCTACTACTACTACTAATTATGCCATGAGTAATAGTAATACTACTACTACTACTACTACTACTAGTAGTAGTAGTGCTGTCACTACTACTGGTAATGATTCTAATACTGTCGGATTATTATCATGTACAGCAGAAACCATCACAAAATCATCTGAAGAGATTAAATTAAAGAAACGATGTTAAACAAAGATGTAATTATCAATGAGAATAATGATGAGTTTATAATAATCCTACTTACCTCATTTTGTTTTTTTTTATTTTTTGCGCTTTCTTTTTTTCTGTCTCTCTCCCTCACTGTCTGTCTGTGTGTCTCTCAATGTTAAAAAAATATATGATAAAAATTGTATATTACACTTTTAGCATATAAACATCTGTTACAATGTCATTCATCTTTCTTTATTTCTTTCTTCATTATCATCTTATATTTTCATCTCGTTAATAAATATTTTAACTTGAGTAGAGATATTTGTGTGGTGCTTTTTCTCTTCCCAGAATTAAATTTGTGATACATGTGTGTGTGTATGTGTATGTATGTCTGTGTATGTGTGTGTGTGTGAGCACGCTCTATGGTATATTTTGTCTGTTTTATGCCAATTGATTTTTAATCACATCGAATGTTATGATCGGTTATCATTTTCTTTACACTTTCAGCAGTCTGTTGTTTATATAATGATTAATTTCGTATGTAATTTTCTTATTTTCCCCACTGATCAATTTCATTACAGCATAAATGATGAAATTGAGGAAAATTATATATATATATATATGGATTGATTGATGTTTGTGATTTCTTTTCAGCTGCACATTGACTTGGAAATAAGTAGTAACAGGTATTGTGGACCCAATGTGTCTTCTTGATATTGTACCATCGAAGGTTCAGGGATATTGACAATAATAATAAGGTAAAACGGTCTCTCCAGAGAAACAAAAACTGGAAGAGATCATTTAAACTGACCTGAGAGTTGAATGGTCTTCATGTAGATAATTCAAGTAGATACAGATAAGTCAAAATAGGGAAATATTAATTGATAAGAAATTTAGAAACTTAAGACCTAAAAGAAGATATAATGAATGCACTCGTGACATTGAGGACGATTCAGGACTATTTCTAAGAAATCTCTAATCACTGGTCGCAATAATCATGTAGACTCCAACATAATAGTCTGGAACCTACCAACATGACTCAGTACGACAAGTAATCTCTTCGAAGATTGACACCACGTTCTGGATCGACCACATCTTGCTTTCTTCCAATCCACGCCTACACTAATGAAGATTTCTCGTCTTGGTGAGTGAGCATACGTGACACATGTTCTGACCACCCTCGTTGTTGGTGGTGTACATTCGCTACTACATCAACAGTTTTTCTATCCTCACCTAGTACTTTGCATGCAGTCACAGAACTGTTAACTTTCTGATCCAAAACTACACGTACTATCGTTGACAGACACTCGATGGCCTACGAACATCCTCTACTTCTAAAGACTATGCTTCACAACCATGAGGTGGAGCAGAGACCTGTTGCACAGTGAACGGGCTGTTTGTTTGTTGTACGTCGTAAGTGGTGCAAGTTAGCTAAAGTCAATCGAGCCATGTGAATTCGTCCAGAGATTTCCTCAGAAGCCAATAATCTATGCTTACAAGATTGGCGAATTGATGGACTCGATCAACTACTTCACACCCTGTGATTAGATAATGTGTTGACCAAGATTATTAGTCTTGTAGTAACAGTCAGTCAGTCAGTTGCAACGTAGAACTTCGTACGTATGTACATAAGTTCATGTTGCCATACCACATTATTAGCACAGAGACGCAAATGTCAAATCAAATCCCATAGTGATAAAGATGGTAGAGGTATAAATGTTATAACAAAGAAGACTAGGGTTTAAGATATTATTCAAAAAATATAATTCAGTGAGATAAGGTTAGAAAGACAAAGGTAGGGGTGCTGGCTAATCCAGAAGATTAGGATTTGAGAGAGCTCAAAGAGTGGATGCACCTGCGCCATTGCAAACGATTTTGAGCCATGTCGTTCAAGGTCTCTAACCATTGATGACTTTCGTCTCGCGGACCCCAACCAGGTAGTCTACATCTACCAACATGACTCAGTCCACTTGTCAGTGACTTCATGGATTTGTGCCATGTTTTGGTCTGGCCGCCCCTAACTTTTTTCCAACCTACTCCTACACCACAAAACATAGCTCGTCGAGGCAGTCGGTGGTTAGGCATCCGTAACACATGTCCCAACCACCTCAACTGATGAAGTTTCACCACTTCATCGATTGATCTGCCATCCTTACCTAGTACTCGTTTCCTAACGACAGCATTGCTTACTCGGCTGTCCCACGATATACGAGCAATGCTTCTTAAACATCTATGATCGAATACTAGTAACCTACGAACATCTTCTACTCTTAACGGCCATGTTTCACAGCCATATAAGAGAACGGAACGAACTGCTGCGCAGTACACGCGCCCTTTGGTTAGCGAACGGATATCACGCCTACGCCATAAGTGACGCAGGTTGGCAAAAGCCAATCGAGCTTTCTGTATCCGAGCTGAGATTTCGTCAGTCACCAGACCGTCAGCACTGATGAGACTCCCCAGATAAGTGAAGTGATCTACACGCTCGACTACTTCACTCCCTATCACTAGTTCAGGTGCCGAAGCAACCCAGTCTTGAAGCAACATTTTGCATTTCGAGGGGGAAAACCGCATCCCGAACATGCTCGCATTGTTGCTTATGGTAGTCAGAAGACTCTGCATTTTGTCAGCGTCTTCACCGAATAGAACTATGTCATCGGCATATTCTAGATCAGTAAGCGACTTTCCTGGTAGAAGGTCAACCCCTGAAAAATCTGACGAGCTTAATGTTAACTCTAAGAGGATGTCTACGACAAAGTTGAACAAGAATGGAGAGAGTGGACAGCCCTGACGGACACCACTTGATGTAGAGAATTCAGATGACAGTTCGCCATATGCTCTCACCCGACCAGTGGTGTTCGAGTAGAGTGCTTGTATAAGGTTAATGTACTTTTTTGGTACACCTTTCAATGACAGACACTGCCACAGAACTTCACGATCCACTGAGTCGAATGCCGCCTTAAGGTCCAGGAACACGACTATTGTCGGACGTCTAAATGTGTGTCTGTGTTCCAGGACCTGTCGTAGTGTGAAGATGTGGTCTATACAACCACGTCCAGGTCGAAAACCAGCCTGGTTTTCTCGAGTCTGCTCTTCACGAGCTCTAGTTAGACGTCTAAGTATAATGGAGGCTAACAATTTAGAAACTATATTAGTTAAACTTATTCCCCTGTGATTGTCACAAGAGGACTTCTGTCCTTTCTTGTAGATTGGGACAATTAGCGACTGAGACCAGTCAGATGGGATTACGTCCATTTCCCAGATTCTACCTAGGATCTCGGTCAGTTTAACCGTTAAAACTGGACCACCATCCTTAAACATCTCAGGGGTAAGCCTATCGGGACCTGCCGCTCTACCTCTCCTTAGATTTCCTATAGCTTTCTCAACTTCATGTAAACTGGGAGGACTTAAATCGATTTGCCATTCAGGATGACTGGAGATCGTGGGCAACCGAAGAGTGGCTGAAGGCCAGTTGAACTGATCCCTAAAGTGTTCTGCCCATCGGTCCAGCCTCCTAGATTGAGAATGGATAATAAGACCATCCTTTTCCGAGATAGTCTCACTTACATTCGGGTTCCTAATACCGGTTTCTTTGATAAGGCGGAAAAGTTGTCTAGTGTTGCCTATCGCCGCTGCCTTTTCCATCGCTTTTGCTTTCGCCACCCACCACTGTTCACGGTCGTTACGTAGGCTTTTTATAAGTCTGCGCCTAAGTTGAGTACGCTCTTCATCATGTTCAGAGTCAGGTGGGATGCGTTTTCGTGCATCCATCAGTTCGGTGGATGCGACTGAAATCCACGGCTTCATCCTAGCCTTATGGTTTACCTTGCTAGCAGATATCACTGCTGTTTCCACAGCCTTCTTTATATCATTCCAACCTGACTCCGGATGGGAATCACTTGCATGATCGCCCAACTGTTTTTCTAGTTCCTCCTGAAATATTTTCTTAGCTTGATTATCATCAAGTAAAGCCCTAAGAGGCTTCCTTACGGTGTCTTTCCTACGTCCAGCAAGCCTCAAACAAATACGTGCTCGCACTAGGGCATGATCTGAATCTAAACATGTGCCCCAGAACGAGCGACAGTCCTCTATCGAACCCCTCCATCGGTGGCTGATGGCGATATGATCTAGTTGTGTCCAACGTTGAGACGACTTCGGGGGTCGCCAGGTCAAAAGGTGTTTTTCCTTATGCTTAAAATTAGTGTTTGCTAGAAATAGTTGGTTATCTGAGCACAGTTGCAACAGACGGTCGCCATTGTCTGTTCTTTGAGCCGCGAGACCGTAACATCCACCTAGGTGTCTTTCATTTTCACTTAGTCTACCTACTTGTGCATTGAAGTCACCAGCCATTATAACTATATCAGAGCGCTTAACTTTTTGGAGGAGGTCCGAAAGCTTTCTGTAAAACTCATCTTTTACATCATCTGGGCTGCAGTCAGTGGGGGCGTAGGCTGATATGACGAAGAGGCAACGGCGAGTGTCCCTATCTTTCCGAGTCCTTACTGTCCCGTTCAGTCGGACGGCGCACAAGCGACTATCTACAGGGATCCAGTCAAGGAGAGATTGTTCTGCCCTACGACTCAATGCTATACCTACACCGGCGAGGCCCCTAGAAGCAGCATCAGGGCTACCGGATACACGAAGGGTAAATCGAGCTGCTTCTTTATCTTGACATGGTGAGGTCAAATGAGTGATGCTACTCGGATCCTGTATGCGCGTTTCCGAGACGCAGCACACATCGATGGAACGAGATTCTAAAGTCCTAGCTAATGACGCCTGTTGCCCTATTTGACACAATGTCCGTACATTGAATGCTCCAACATGTAGTTTGGAACGGGGTTTAAGGAGACCAGGAACGACGTTTCGCAAACTCGCATCGTTTGCATTAGCTGTGCACTGTAATAAATGAATGTGAGAAGAGTTAGTTGTGGAGATAAGAGAGGTATTAGGGAATGTAGGAAGGATTTGATTTTGAACAATTTTGTCTCGTGTGCTGTTGCGGGTATGAGGGCGGTTATCACTTCCCGGCTGCCCACACCGTGGAAGGTTGTTTCTTGACGAACCTGAAAAGGAAGATGGATTAGTGTTGGTGCGTGACCGCAGAGCCCAAGGGACAACTGCTTCAGGCCGGTCACGCACGGCCTTTTTATGAGAGGTATTTAGAGGATTAGCTCCGTTCTTAAAGGCCCTTAGTGGGCACCCTTACCCAAGGAGACGGAAATCCGTGAGGTAGGGGAGGTGTGACATTTTTAGGGCCGACCTTTTCTAACCCTTCCTTCCTTGTGAGAAGGCAGCATCGCTGCAGATGCTGGTTGTCCGAGGGAAACACCTTACTGCTGTCACACCCCTCTGCAGTCAGCAGTACGACTTCGCCCTCAGACCTTGGGTAGCTGCTTTTAGTCTCATCGTTCTCCAATCGACCTGCCTGGCATGGTAGGACCTGCAGGAACATGTGTTCCAGCCAGTATAGCTCGGTTGGGTCATCACGATAGGCAAGCCCGACCACCACGTCAAGGTAGCAGCTTCGGTCGGGAGTCTTGTAGTAACATTGTAAACTGAACAGAGGAATACATCATAAAGATGCTAGAATTGCAGCTTAAGTTGACTGTGAGATTGGATTTTGTCA